TTAATGCAATTTAATATAATTTAATTTTATTTATTTATATTTAATTTATTTTAATTTAATTTAATCTCATTCAATTTCATTTCATTTCACTCCCCCCCCTTTAGCTACGGCCCTTTCCATTGGCTGCGCTGTTCCCTATCGAAAACCCTGAGCCATTCTCCACGCCGTTCGCTCCCTTTTTCCCTGCGTGAGCCATTGTTTCCCTTCAACGCCCCCAGCCCAATATTTTCCTTCCCACATCGCCCGCATTTCCTTGGCGCAAGCCGGGAACCGCTGACATCGACCCCCGTGGTGCAAATGCACTTGACGCCTGCAGAAGCGTCAGAACCTGATTTTTCTCCTCAATTGCCCAAGGGATGGGAGTTAAACAAAAAAAAATCCACTTGGTGCCCACATCCGGCTGCTTTTCTGGGCGTTTTTAATCAACCACGGCCCGCGGGGACCCTTCGGCATCGCCGCTAACGTCCCATCTTCCTCCAGGACGTTCAGTACACAGACATCGACTACATGGAGGCGAGGAAGGATTTTACGTACAACAAAGTGAACTTCACAGACCTCCCCGGCTTCCGAGCCTACCTGCATGGCTACGGGCAGAAATACGTCATCATCCTGGTGAGCGCGGCGCTGCTCATCGTCGCATTGGCCATAGCGTCGTTATCCGCGGGTTTGTGATTGTGTTTGATGTGCGCCTTGGCACACGAGGCATCTGCCCATGTAGAACCATGGGATCACTGGGGTTGGAGAAGTCCTTGGAGATCCCCCAGCCCAACCGCTCCCCTACCCCTGCCATCCCACCCCCAAACCCTGGCCCTCAGCACCTCGGCTGCCCGGCTGTTAAATCCCCCCAGGGGCGGGGACTCGACCCCTTCCCTGGGCAGCCCCTTCCAGCCCCCGACAGCCCCAAGGGGAAGGAATTGTTCCCCATGGCCAACCTCACCCTGCCCTGGCACAACTTGAGGCCGGTGCCCCTCGTCCCATCGCCCCTTCCCTGGGAGCAGAGCCCGACCCCCCCGGCTCCCCCCTCCTCTCAGGCAGTTGTAGGCAGCGATGAGGGCTCCCCTCAGCCTCCTCTGCTCCAGGCTGAACCCCCCC